TATGCTGTTGTTCACCAGCTATCACGTCAAAAAGCCACATAGTATAGTGCTAACATATGAAGTTGTTTTATTCACGTAAGTGGAGAAGTTAAGAAGCATGGATTATGAGGATTATAATTAATTAACACTTGTAGCGGACCATAGCTATGATGTTGTCGATAGAAGAAGAAGAACACATGTGGGGTTAAGATTTTCCTGCTAGCCGGTCCAACTACATGAGAAAGTTGGACTTTAATTAAGTCCAAAGAAGGCAAAGAAAAACAAACACAAGACCGATAAATATATGTATACAAATATATATATTAATAACAAATTACATGGACAGTTACAATGGACAGAGTGTGTGTGTGAATATTATATATGTGTGTGTGTGTGTGTGTGGTGAGTGTTCGTACGTACGTGTATTGTGCTTAGCGTGTTCCCAGCATTTGGGAAACGCTATCTCTGTGAGCGTTTACATTTGCGAGGTGGTAAGGCTGAAAGCCTTAGGAAAAAGAGAGAGAGAAGCGAAGGGTCAGTGAATATTTATAGCCAGGGAAGAGAGACCCCTGGTGAAAGGGTTAACGAACTAAAGGAGGAGTTAACTCCAACACACTAGACTTGAAAAACAATATTATAGCAATCAGGAAAGCATCCACTCGGGAGTCTGTTCCTCAAAACAACAACAACTTAGGAAGAAACTGTTCAAATGGAATTTCTTTCCTCTCAATATTTACCAATACTTTAGTCTGATGTTCATGGATGCGGCTCCACCTTGTTTCACATGGTCCTACAACCTGCCAGGTGTAATACTTCAGTTCATGGATCAGTTTTTGGGGGTCTATCTGTCCCATATCATTTTGCAATGCATTTTTGCATATTGCTCTTTGTTATAATCTTGTTTTTACCATGATCAATGATAAGAATGGCTCCTTTTTTTCCAGTATAAAAGTGTGAGAATAATTCTTATTTGCAGACCATCTTCAGAATGAATTAAGTATCAATGTTCAGAGACAGAAGAACAACAGATTGTGTAAACCCTCAACAAGCAAAAATAATCTAGATGTGGGCAATCATGGCTCTCCACAATTTCCTGCCCTTTGTTCTCTTAGTAAATTTAATCATTTTGCTATCACTCCTAATCTCCGTTATACTATGTTACAGAAACTTATTAGTAAGCTTATGTGCTGCTTTCCTCTGTCTTTATTGCCTTAAATATGTCTTTTGAGTGTCAAATTCACCAAGACTTCTTTCCTCATTATGTAACCTGAAAATATTAACTGTCTGTTTTTCATTCTAAGTGGAAGTGCACTTTTTGTTTCCATTTTCCTGAAAACTTTGTTAATCATATGTTCGGCTCATGGTATTCTCAGCATTCATCTGAAGAACCACATTTTTGTTGCTTCAAGTTTTCACCTGGGAGAAAGTTGATGATAACATTATTTATCTATGGAAAAAAGCAAGAGAAGTGATAAAAATAATGACTAATCTACTTGAAAACTTTCTGCAAATGGATGGGGGAAATGTACTAAAAAATATAAAGGCTCATAAAGATGTTATTGCTGAGAACACAAGACAGGAAGGAGATAAAGAAATTGAACCCTTTTTACTTTATATCAGTATGGCTGATGCTAACCTCCAGGACAGCCACACATTGCCCTTTCACAGACTAAAGTTTTCTGGTACATTGAATCAATTGCTAAGTATGCAGCTAAGAATATTGGTTCACTATGTTGGGCTAGACAATCTTTCTTGCCAGAATCTACCTTACATATTTATAAGTCTACCATTCATCCTTGCTTTGAATATTACTGCTACCTCTGGTCTGGTTCTCCTGCTATATAGTTAGAGATTCTTGGTAAAGTCCGAAAAAGAATCTGCAATGTTATTGGCTCAGACCTGGAATCTCAGCCTCAGTCCCTTTCCCAGTGCCATAATGTAGCTTTCCTGTATCCTTTATATATTTTCATGGCAATTGTTTTGAGGAACTTTCCTCTATGGTACCTAGACTTTATGAATTTAAGCTCAGTACTAGATTGGTGGTGAGATTCCATCAATTTACAATTGAAATGGCTAACTGTAAGTGTAAGTTCTATGCTAGCAGTTTCTTCTATTGCACTTCTTGCTTGTGGAACTCTCTTCCGGCCACTTGCTTCCCAGTCAACTCTGATCTTCAAAGATTTAAATACAAAGTCAGTCCTTATCTTCTGTCTTCCTAATTCTTATTCTTTTATTGTCCTTTCTCCTTAATAGTAGTTGTTCTCATATTCTCTAACACTCATTAACTTCTTGCATCTTAGTGGCTTTACTGCCTTGCTTCGAGTGAAATGATAAAAAAAACAATTAGATTGTAGCAGAGGTAGTTTTGCCCAGCATCACAAAATTCTTCAAAACCAAAACATTAAACTAAAAGCTAAAATCATATTCGTAGAAATAGTCTCACTGGAGAAAGAAATATCTAAACTGTAAACTGCATATGACTGCTTTTATATGCATCCCAAGCACGGTACCAATATTATTC